CCTATCGATGGGGAGGCGTATCCTGTTAGATGCTGCAGGATACCCATAAAGTTCAATGGCGAATTTTAATTTTTGTTTTGTTCTAAGTTGCTGTTGTTTATTCTTTTCTCTTTTGCTTGTTTTTTTGTTTCCTGATAAGATTTCGTATACATTTTTAATAAGCTCTAATATTTTTAATTGGTTTGTGCCTTGGGAAATGCTAGACCAGATTTATGTGTCAGTGTCGACAATAATTTAGCGTTAAGGTCTAATATGTGAATGAACTGTCTGCATGAACTTCCAATTTAATTCTCCCGGATTTAAATCTGACAAAAACTTCAAGCGAGGGTTTCTTCTTCGTTCCCTCGTAGGTCCAAGAGTTAATAATGATCTTGTAATATCTTATCTCTACTCCTAAGAGACAAACATGGAAAAAAAAAGGTCGTTGGTCAATAGGCGATGAAATATCGTCTTCGAACTCGACAGGAAAAAACCGGTAAAGCTTGAAACTTGGAGACAACTTAAAGATACGCGACAAAAGTTATTTTATCAAAATGAGAAAAAAATGAAAGTAGAAGAGTATGCATGATTACGTTTATTCCTACTGTCTTTAGCTTCCTTTAGCGTCTCCAAAGCCGGTACGATCTCATTCAACTAGGAAAATATATTTCTGTTAGAGTTATCATAGATAATGCAACTAGACTCGAGCAGATCAGGCTCGATTATATACATGCATAATAATCTCGAAAAGCATAGGGAATCATTGGATTCTTTCATTCAGAGGATAATATTTATAAAATATTCTAAAACAGAGCATAGCGTTGAAGGTGCGCTCTTTTTGGGTACCCAACTCCGAATAGTCTTTGCTATTCACCTCCGAGAAATTCACTCAGGATTTGCGCCCAAAAACATGAAGTCGTTGCTGAAATAAATGAGTTAAAGATCATCAACCTTTTGTGCCGTATTATCTCACTTTTTTAGTATATAATAAAACAACTATTCACCTCAGTGTCGGTGTCTCGCGGTGGATATTAACCTCACCGTTTTGCTGCCTGGTAAATATCCACTAATAGCCGCCTCCACTTCAGTGAATAGTTGTTAAGTATCAAAATGATCTTTTCAGGTATAAGAACTTTGCTTTGATCAAGGCCGACAAAAGTAGAGCACTCTTTCAAAAGAGCAAATGAACTCAAAGTTATCAAAACAATTTTCTAAAATGAAAATAATGATAATAAAAAAAGATAAGTCAAAGGCCATCAATAAAACACTTACCGAATCAGCCAATTCTGCCACCGCCTCCTCCACGGACATCACCCCCTCATCCTGTTCATGTTCATGATGATCATTCATCTGATCACCTGTTTTCAAGAGATGAGCAAAGCGAGCTGTGGTCTCAGTCATCAAGGGATGTCTGAGTTTATTGACATCCACCGGTCCATCTGCGAAAAACAGTGATTGACATTTTTTTTTTTTAATTGTGTATTTGAACAATCAAATTAAAGCCATGGAAACTAACACAAGCAACCAATGAGTCATTGAGAATTAATATATATTGCCCGCTCGAGAAAAAGACTGGGTCTGAGACTGATTAGCTGAGATGGTGGTACGATAACTGTGGACCAGTAACATAGCATGGCAAAGCGAAGCCAGTCAGCTAATCCTTTATTCATTTCCACACTTGAGCGCAACGGAAAGATTATCAGTGTGGAAAGTGTTGATTCAGTTCCTTTATTTTCTGAGGTACAGCATATGATCTGCACATAAAGAAAAACCCAAGTAGAATATAGACTGTTGACATTAACAGTCTAAAGCACATTGTAATTGAAGAACTCAATCTGCTTAAGGAATCCCTCTGCGATGTGCAACATAGAAAGCATATCGTGAATAATTATGAAACAACTTAGTTGAAAAGCGAAGTGGTTTAATGACCACGTTAAGCTCTAAAATCTGGAACAAGGATGCTGTAAACTTAAAGTTTTCGAAGCTGTTTTGTAGCGCAGCTAATTATGAGTCAATTGGGAGTGCCTTCATTTTGTTTTCACCTCTTATACGATCCCGGATTTGATCACTGCAAAGAGTGGTGCAAATTAATACAAAGTACATGTACGAATCTGGGTTGCGAGTGTTTACTAGTATGTCGTTTGCATTGAGACAAATTCAGGTTAGTCCTGCTACCAAACTAAGCAAAGAACGAGAAGAGATCAAGAATAATGAAAAAGGAAAATACTTTTTTTGTTATTCGAGTTTTATTGTCATATTGCCATGACAACATGTGTGTTTAATTTCATCTCTTGACCAGAACTCAGAACTCTCGGCTGAGTGATTCCTCGTGATTTAAAAGCTTTAGAACACTTGGCAATCTTTCGCGAAATGCGGAAAAATGCAAAATTCGACGTGACTAGCATATCACGAGACAGAATTTAATTACAGTCCATTCAATTCGTTTTAGCTTTGCATGACCAACTTTTTAATTAACAATTTTTATTTTGATGGTTAGTTGGTAGCTTATAGTCCTCTTAGGATTGTGGAAAAAAACTATGCTAATTTACGAGTAAGTGTGTTGATGTTTTGATCAATGCATATGGAATAACTGTTTCACCAAAAAATATATATATGTGTCTTATCATTTGCAGCTGCTCATTGTGCATCTTGTTTTGGAAAGGAGAACTGATTTATAACATGTACGATTTGTCAATAGATTGCACACAATGCTGGCAAAGAGGAATTTCTCTTTAGCCCTATTCTAGAATATACAAACTGTTTTTTATGTGTGTTTAATTTCATCTCTTGACCAGAACTCAGAACTCTCGGCTGAGTGATTCCTCGTGATTTAAAAGCTTTAGAACATCTAATACCATGTCGGGATTTTTACGGGTTCAATGTCCCCTTTCAAGTCTTAGCTCATCTTTTTTTTTATCCCATTTCCTACAATTCAAAATTTTTGTCAATGATATTCCGAATTAAGAAAGCAGGCACTCTACAGTGACTTGGGAACATTCTATAACCATTAGTTCGAGACGTTACGATCAATGGATGACTGATGAGAAGTTTCATAAAGGAAATATTTACCTTGCAGGTAGCGATCTAGCTCAGTTAGTTTGTTGCGGACCGTATTCTCAGGAAGATGAACCTGGCTCTGAAATGCCTCAGCAGCACAGACGAAAAGCAAAGTCACAAGGATATACTTCATCTTCACTCACTGTCTTTCACTTAGAAATGATTTGCACGCGATGGCTGACCTGGTAGACAACTGAGATTAATGATATCGTGTCGGGTTGTTGTGTGGGAGTCATCCATTCATCACAAAGCGTTGCATCGATGTTCAATTTCTCCCAACGCTGTTTCTATATTTAGTCAAGTGGTAAGCTGGACAGGATTCTGAATGATGAACACTTAAATTCTCTCGACTAACTTCCATGTTATTGCTCTGTATTGGGAGAATTTTGATCTTGAACTTGTGGTCAAACAATAGACATGTTGATCTCTAACCATTGTTTTTATTAATATAGGCATTGAATTAAATCCTTTAAATCATTTGTAAATGATCCCCGAGGGAATACAAATGAAATACATTGCGGAAAATGCTAAAATTACCCGATTCAAGTTGAAAGGAAATTTTGCAGATTCATGAAACGGACATGATAATTTCATTTTTTTTAATTGGGTACTGATTTGAAACATCTTCGGTAGGTACACTTAAGACCCTCACAGCTGTAAATAGGTATTCGCTTCACTTGACATAGAGTTTAAAACCTCCCTCATAATTTTGTATATTTACACCAATAAGCGAATTAAATATTTTAAGCATTGATACAAAATGATGACAACGCGGAAAACTGAACTAATTGCTTCCAATCAATTTAATTGAAAATGGTCAAATGAATTGTTTTTTTTTTTTTAGTAAAAACAAAATCTTTATTTGAGATGTCACTAAGATGTCTGCGTGAATCATCGGATATTCACAATATTTATAATATTTACTGACATTTATGAAAGTTTGTTTGAATTAAGAAACAAAATGTTAAAGATTAATTCAGGTACTGATCTTCAGATCAGGGGGCTGAGCTGCATGTGAAAATGCCATGGAATATAACTTGCGAAGAAAACTCAAACTTGCGACTCCAGTTACATTTCATTTGGTTCCTAAATTTTTATTTTAATAAGACCTTGTCTGTAAATATAAGTCATTGTATTTTTATCCTCTTTGACCCAGGGTTCACGAATCATTCATAGAACAGAATAAATAACATTCTCTACTAATGAACTAGACGCACCAAAAGACAGAAATGGAAAACAGAGCTCTATCGACAGATTTCTGCTTGCGGAAAATGTTATCGTGTAGTTAGCCCTTAATTAATTGACCGTGATGCCATCAATCGTTAATCCTAAAAAATGTCGGGAGTTATGTGCCGGAAATAAGAGATAGAGAGGTGATCTTTACCGCTGGTGTTCTGCCTCTTATCGGTCTAACTCCTCCTATTTGCGAAGTGACTCCCATTCATCTCAGTTATCTAACTGAACTATTTAACAGTCCAAGCCATCGCTTTAAGTAATTAAAGCTATTGACCCAGTTATCCTTGCTAGTTATGCGTGACGTTATCACGCTTTAATGCTGGGACTCGGGCGCACAAGCTATCTGGCTGACATCCACAACATGAAAAAAAAAAAAAAAAAAAAAAAAAGGAGGGGGGAAGGGGTAAGGAGGAGGGGGGGGGTTTGAATTTCTCCGTAGTTTATGTTGAGTTCAGTCTTAGATTTTGAGGGTTTACGTGCATCAAATACTCTGCTACGGACCAAGTTATCATTCAAAATAATTTTTCTTATATTCATTTTTTTCTTATTTACTTTTGGGGTGTTACTAGTCGACTTCAATACTATTTACTCAGTTTTGTTGCTCGTTTTTTTGGTTACTAAGTCAATATCAGTTTATTATCAGTTACCATGGTTTGAAATGAAAAAAAGGTACTATATCTTCGTGAAGTTCACAGTTATTTCATTCACGACAGTAAACACACAGTCAATAGTTTCTCCCTCGGATTTTATTTGCTTCAAAGAGAAAATTATAACACAAGAGAACTTAGATATCAAAAATACTATGGGAGTAGCACAATACGCTAAGGCGCAACCAGTTTGTTGAATAAAAACGGTACGACAAATTAAAGAACTTTGTAAGTGAGATTTTTTTTTGCTAAAGTTATTCCATGTCCCAAAGAGGAAATGACCATAGCCTTTTAAATGAAACAAACGAATCTACATTTTTTCTTTCGTTATTGTTTTCGATGCAAACTGACTGTTGCATATCCAGAGGGGAAAAAAGTAAATGTGGCTCTCCATACCAGCCCTAAAGAGAGAAAAAGCAATATTTTATTATCTATCAAAAATTTTTACACGAGGTTGCTTCACATGGGCCGACCGTTTCGAAACGGGCCTTGTTTGTTGGGAGTTAAAACCAAAGACTTTCAGCTTTGCCAGCGAATCTCACCTTTATTTCGTTATCTATCAATAGCTTGATCACTAAAGTACGGTAAATACAATTTCCTTCCAGATTACTTCGAGAACGGTTACAGTTTTCATGAACATAGCAAGATTTAAAATTCCTTTACTTACACTTCGTTACGGAGGAGCTTGGGAAGATTCGGCAGATGCTTGTGGAGGAGCCGCTTCCTTCAAATATTTCTCGATAACTGTACCGATTATGATGGCCCCTCTCATGTTATCTACTACGAACTGACCCACAGTAAGAAAGGCCTTGTCCACCTGACCTTCTTCCATGAACTTTTTAACTTTCGCTTTCATTCCTTTGAAAAAGGAACACGTTTTATTTTAGCATATCAGTTATCATTGTTTTAGCTCTTTATCTCCCAAAAGTTATTAACACGTTACTTCTCCCTATAAGATCAATAATGCATCTAGCAAACAGAAAATAAGATTACTCAAACTTATATGAGGTAGAGTTTGTTGTCTTGATCTAACATTAAACATTTTGTAATTGATTTATTAGGAAATGTGTAGCAGCTGTAGAGGGGAGAATCAACAATTACATCTTGGGAGTTAAAGGGTTTTAGTGAACCTTGGATTTTGTACAAGCAATTTTGTAAATCTAATTGAAGAAAGACGCGAGACGCTTTGAATACAGTTAAACTACACTTGAACTCATCCAAACGAGTTTTCTACTCATTATGCCTTTTTTCTGGAAATATAAGAGATTTTGCTGTGATCGCTTTACTTGGGATTGTAATTATGGTTCCAGGAAAGACGTCGTCAATAAATGAAAGAGAATACGGAAGTGTTTGACGATTGCCTTGTTGTTCAATATTTGGATTTAAAAGCTTTCTTCTCTACCAGTTTTTTTCTGCTATTTTGTGACATCATTATTATTGCTATGTTTATTCTTTGCATTTAAAAAAAATCTGCTAGAGACGACTGAGTACCAGAAAGTTACAAACCATAAATCGCTATGTCCAACTGGACCCTTGTAATTACTGAAGATTTGTAACTTCAGAAGGCTTTCTAGGCTTATAAAAGAAGAGGCACACATTCGAGGGAACACGTGACCAGGTGTCTTGTTTGGGGTACATGTAGATGGGTCCATAACTGGAAAAGAGGAAAGTGTGTGTAAGGGTGGGGCGGGGGACTTTGACGGACAGTTCATGGCGTTAGGTACATACCATCTTCAAATATCTGAGTAATATACTGTAGCTCTGCAGACTTTTTGTGAACCTTTACACCCTGAAAAATGGAACAAAATATGATTTAGGTCTTACTAAAGTACAGATCATAAACCTTCCCAGACGACTAGCATTACCATAACTTATTAAAAATTAAATCTGTGAGAATACATGTCTACCTCTGAACATAATTATCTAGCGGATGCGGATTCTTGGTAGTAATTTTGGACAGTTGAAAAAATATCCAAAGTACCACCAACATCAGGAGGGAGAGGAAGACAAAATACAAGCCCCATGGTGGATTTTCTCGATCAAAATTTAACATTTTGAAGCCAATTTTAATTTATCCACAAATAAGTTTAGCGAGTGAGAAGCTATAGCTGTATAAAATAAGATTACGGCATATGAGTTGCGATGCACCTAACGGGTATTGTGATTGATACGAGATAAGTTCATTTTTCCAACAGCCATCCCTAAACCATAGAAAACATTGTAACAATACAGAAATTGGGATGAGTATTTACCTCATGGATGAGTTGTACAATTGACCGTATGAGTTTCACTAAAAAAGAGAAAAACCATTCCATAATGGTAAAAAAATAACTTAGGAAACAACAAAATGGGGCTTGGATCTGAAAAGACAAAATGACTTGACAGGCTCCCCTCAGGGGTACGATATCAGTTTTATATGCTGGCATTCTTTTCCCTTTTTTATTTTGACTCCAAAACTCTGCCAGCGTTATATAGATCCAATAATTATTCCGTGAGTGCGGGTTGGGTATGAGATGGTAAATATCCAACGAGGAAAGTAGCGCCGAGTTGGCTTTAACCAGTTTCGTATCCAACAAGCGCGAATAGAATAATTATTTCATTAAACCTCATTAAAACCTAAGCGTTTGGATATATGGGGCTTTTTTTCAGCTCTGCAACAGTTGGTGCAATGCATTTCCAGAAGATGACTCAAACTAAAATACAAGTAACCCTGATTGATACATATTTGATGGAGATTGAATTCAACGCAGATATGGATTATGTTTGCTTAACAGACCACAAAGCAAAAGCACAAAACAAGGAAAAAAAACCGATCTCACACTCTCTCATCGGAAAAACGCACCCAGAAAAAAAGGCTGGTAAACCAAAATATTGGCTCTCGTTCTTTTGCTGCAGTCTTCTCACAGGTTTTAAATTGAAATCAGGGAAGGTCTTTTGTTCGGTTCAATTATAAAACCCCTTTTTCACTTCGTCATCACTTCGTTTTTGCTCCTTTGAAATATTAATGGACGTAATTTGCTCCTCAGACAGAATAACTAACGAAATTTCGTAGAAAATTACGAGGAAATAATTGTCACTGTGGTCATTGTATGGTGAAATAGTCCTAACTTTCGTCTTAGACTTCATGCATGGAAGAAAAAACTAAGCAAAAATGCTAAAAACACGAGGCTTGCGAAAGTAAGGAAAAGTTTTACCTCAAAAGCTCGTACGCACCTTCACCGCAGTCGTTGTTGTTGTGATTCTCAAACACTAGGTCTAGTGCTTTTTCCTTGAAGCTTTTTTTTCTTTTTGGTCCAGCTCCTCTGAATAGACCTTGAAATCGAAATAATGAGAAAAATGATAAAAAAGAAATGTGGAAATGGGATTAATACGGATTGGAGGGTATCAAAGAATGCCATAACAGTCTATGAAACAGAACATGTTCACATGGTTCATGTCCGTAATTTAATATTTTTTATAGGCTGTTAGTATGAGGCAACCCTTCCTTCCTCTCTCCCACTGACGCGACAAAAATTTCTCTTTTCGTTAGTAACGACACGGATTTTGACAATGATGATAATAATTGTGATCGTGGTAGAAAAAATAAAGAAAGAGGAACAGAACACAGACGAACAATGAAACCGAAAGAAAAAGCCCAATACGTCAATGATCGTAAAATGAAGCTTCCTCTAACAACCCTAAGCACTGCTTTGATTGATTGTGCTGTTGGGTGTATTCCTGGTTAAAATTTTACAATGTCGTTACCTGACTTACCTCTCTTCATACACTGTCCACTGTTCACTGCATAAACGTATGGATTTATTTTCTTGGAGACATCAAATTTGCCACGAGGATCAGAATGGTCAACGTAATGGATTATCAAGTTAGCCAAACCTTAAAAACAACAAATGCTGAATATCAAAACATAAATACAATAGCAATGACGACAGAAAAAATATATTTCTAGAGATTGCTTGAAAAGTTTTCTAACCTGTGGTTTATACAGATATGGGAAAAAGGTTAAAATGCAAAAAGCAGACAAGCCAGAGAAAGAGACTTTCTCAGGAAACTAGAAATAGCAAAAGAGGTTAACAAACTTGGAGAATTGACAAAGATTACCTCGATAGATATTTTCCATACTTTGATAACAATAACAACAAAAAAACATCAAGCTTCTTAACCCTTTACACCCTAACATCAGTATGCATATTCTCCATACTGTTCTCTATACATTTCCTGTGGAGCTGAAAAGGAGAATTTGTTTAACAATGAAGAGGTACTTTATAGTTGGTGATCATGTTTGATTCAGGGGGTGGCATTGTGAGGAGAAATTAGATGCTAGTCACTCTTTAGAGGCAAAGGGTCAATGAAGAGGTTTATAAATGAACTAGGTGCTTTATTAGGGAGGGAAGATTTTAGTTTAGAGAGGGTAAGAAATTTTTCATATTCACCATCCATGTTAGTGTCACAGTATGTCTCAGCCAGCATCCCACCAATTTCCATTACAGCCTTTACACCAGGATGCTCCAAGAGATCGTGTTCAAAAGCCATGTGGACAAATGCTTCAAAAACGTCTAAAGGAAGGAAAAAGTATCGAATGGATTCATATGTTGAACACCCCAAAGAAATGAAATCCATGGCCGGCCGTTATTTTAAGAAACATTAAGCCTACTCCTCTGACACACACACACACGCACAGAAAAAAATGCTGTGATCTGCTCTCAGAGTCTCTTTGTTTTAGTGTGACCATGTTGCACTGAGGAACACAAGCAGCAACGTCTAAATACTTAGCTTTGCCATGCGTAACACCATCGGCCACAAAACATTAGCTGCTATGCGAAAATTTAATCCCCACCGTTAAATGCACAAGCCCTTTATCCAATAATTATGATATTAGAGATGATAAAAGAGTTAATAATTATAACAAATACCTTGTTTGTATAGAAGAAGTAAATACACGCGACAGATATTTGCACATTCAACATTCTCACCTGCTTGTTCGTTGAGTTCCGAATCTTTGAGAACCTGGCCCATTCTCTCTTCGAAATTTAAGTTGTCATTAGCCAACAACTTAATTAACTCTACACAAGAAAAGAAATTCAGTCTGTAAGTTGATACAGAACAAATTCTTCCACTCGTAACATGAATAGGGATGAATCAAACTATTTAGAAGTTTGTCATCTCGAATAGTATTCGCAGAATTATATAAAGTTCGAAAAAGAACACTTAAGTTTTACCCTTTATTTTCAAAAACAAAAATGCTTCCATAGTTTATTTAATGAGTGTTTTAAATTTCTATCTCTACAAATTTGAGGGAGTAACTAAAACAAAAGTGGGGTTTTAAAAAGGAAAAAGGACATTTAGTATTTCACCTGTCTTGTGAATGTAATTAGCAAAACCCTTTTTGATATTTTGGCATCTGACGTGCCGTTCCATCGCATGTTGGCCCAAAATCTCCTTGACGTCACTAACGTTTCCGTGCTTCAACACGTTTAGGAAAGCTTCAGCATCAGCTGAAAATTTAAAGCATAAAAGCCTATTATTGAATACGAACTGAAGTACGATAAAGAAAACAAATTTAATAGCTGAAAAATCCTCGTGCAGTGTATTCGAAGTTTTTAAGCCCACATACAAATTAAACACGAACTAACAAAACAAAACAAAAACACAAAGCAAAGCAAAATAAACCAAAAAAAAATCATTCAAATGCAAAAAATACAAAATATGACACAACCCCCGACATTCACAAATATTTCAAGCTGCTCTTCTGATAAATTCAAATCCTTTAGCTTTGATAGAATGCCTTATATCCCCATGCTTCCATCTGAATTGGGATTCAACCTTAAACCTGACCTGAATGAAAAACATATCTCATCTACAAAAAAAATAGAACAGGCGGGAAAAAAGAAGATTGATCTTACTATCGGTACAGAGCTGCTGACGGTCGCAAATCAAGATGTTGTTAATTACCCTTATCCTGTTTGTCCTTAGCGTCCTTCAATGTTTTCAAAGCTCGCCTGATTTTTTGTATCTGCAATTCAAAAAAGGGAGCTATTATTGGTCCTCAAAGTTTATAAAACTAAATTTAAATTTTAAAACTAAAACTTTTGGTTTAACAATATTTTGTATTTATCCTAATTTTCATGTTAGTCCCAGACATAGCTGTATGTAATTAATATGAAAAGGATCTTCGCAGTTTCTTCACAAATATGTTTTGCATATATTTGCAGTTATGCAAACTGTATGTGTTCGAATCAAAAATTATTCATCAAAGACTCCGTCAAATGTTAAAAGTGAATTTCTTACCACATGGGCCAATGCAACCACTGCAGTTTTTTCGGGGTCCGGTCCCGGTCTCGATCCAAATTCCTCCTCCCCCACCTCGTGATGGTCATTCATTTGTTCTCCTTTCTTCAACAGACGAGCAAGGTGAGCTGTTGTCTCGGTTAGAGAAGGCTTTTCCATGAGTTTCTTGGCATTAATGGGCCCATCTGGGATGAACAAAATATTATGAGGAAATCTAAGTGATGGAGAGCAAGTCGAGTTTAGGGACGCGTTTAACAGGGCTTACCATGATCATGATTATCAATTTATGAACCAAAGGAAGCTAAAGATTCAGGGCCCATTTATATGGTCTCAAGTGTTCAAGACAACCCTTCCCTCCAGTTTCCCTGGCCGAGCTAACTTTTGATTGATTTCTTTGGACAATTCAACCAACCGTTCTGGCCTGAAACCGGCGAACTTGTCTCGGGGGCGGGACAACTCGATAGGGAGTGTTATCCCGCCTCAGCGAGACATCGTTTTCTCGCGTACACACTTCGGCTCGCCTGCCCGATAACCCGAGACCGTGTGTTTTAGGTGAGGGAAGAGACTGATGAGGGAACAGCTGTTACAACTCACAACTCCAGATAAACGCTCCATAAAGTAGTCTCGAGGGGGAGGGTTGTCTCGGGTACGCGATACCAAATAACTATGGCCGCAGTCGAAACAATTAGCTCTGTAGCTTTTTTTTCGTTGCATGAGCTACTAGCATAGAGTACTACCAATTGCAGTCAGTTTTTACCATCATTCACAAATACAACTATTTTTCTTGATTTTTGTATTCGTCCTGATGTTGTTTCGATTTTGGGTAAAGACAATGGCAGACGTCGTTGTAGTGTACAAAAAAAGGAAGATTTTGCTTAAGGCTTTGATTCCCTTATCAAAATAATTGGTGGCTCTGATCCATAGGTACAGATATTCTTTTTAACTCTCGCGGATTGCATTGCAGTTTAAAAAAATGGGATCATGTATACTGTTTTTGATTTACGGTCCCGAAAGATAAAATAATTGGTGTAATATTGTGCCGTGTTAATCTTAAATGAAAAATTGATACAATTTGTCGAGTAATGATTTGAAGAAAATTTTTAAAAACTTAAAAACGGTGATAGATTCGCGCAGGATCCATCAAAGAAATGATGTTTAAAAATAATTAAATGATTTTGATCCACCTTAACAACGATTTGCTGAAGTTTTACATTCGCAATTGATTACTAGTTAACATTTGTCTCCAGATCTATTTATAAACCTGATCAATTCTAAGAACAGTCGATCCTAGAGTCAGAATGTCTATTGTCCGAGCGAAACAAAGGGTTTTCCCTGAATGCGGAAAATTTGTCAGCCTCAAAGAATCCCGCTCAACAGAAACTCATTCATCCAAAAAGCCTTGATAACCTAAAAGAACCTTGTTTGTCAAAAACTCAGACTCTCCATTGTCGAAGAAAATCAGACGCACTGTCCTAAACGTGGAAAGAATGTTTGCAACCTTAAGCTCGTTATTTCGTATTCTAAAGGGCCCTTAATCTGAAAACACTTGACACTGTTGCCAGGCAACACAAGGAGGCTTTTGTCTAAACCGGAAAAAATGTCGGCCTCAAGGTAGATTTGGCTTGGAAAGCCTATTGCAGAATATGTTTTGTAACTTGAGATACAATAAAGCTGGTTTTTTTTCACAGAGTCGCAAGGTAGAAGGAATTTTTAAATTAATTTTGTCAATAGGACAAGTGAACCGAAATGAACCGATTTTTTAATTTTTTTTTTTTTTTTTTTTTTTTATCGCGCTGGTATGTGAGGCACTTTGTGCGCAAAGTTTTCTGGCATATGTAATTAATGGGAAAAAAGCATTAACAGTCCGTTGCAATATGCTGATTGATGAGAAAGTTAAGTACGATGAGATAGTTAAAATAAATACGACTGATTGGGCAGAAAAAAAATATCTATAAGTTAATCTCTACCGAAAAAAAAAGTTTTTACAAAATGATATCGACTCGTAGCTCATAAATAAGGTAAGAGAGAGATGTATCTTTGGTTAACTTATCAACAAATCAAACAATTATGTTTAAGTGAAAACATGAACATAAATGAAATTTACCTTTAAGCAAATGATGCAGTCTATTGGACCTCGCCGCTGAGAGATCAACCAGGTTCTTCAATGCACCAACAGTTGAGGCAATAAGCAACGTTGTCAGGATGAACTTCATTTTCTTCCACAGCGTGCACGATCAGCCCACCTCATGGAAAACTGATCCACACAATCTCGGATTTTGCTTTTGTGCCCGGTTCATCCATCCATTACATTGCAAAGTGTTACTAAGGTTTAATTTCTCCCTAACGCACCGAGTGTTGCACTCACTCAAGCGGTAAGTTGGCGATTTTTTTTAAAATTCTCCCTACTTTCTTCCATAGAGGTTTGTTGCGATGCGACGGGAGAGTCTATCTATTGACATACGATCAAATTATGTCCTGATCAATTAATTCTTTCAATTGTTTTTTGTTTTTGTTTTTTGTTTTTCAACTCCTGAGGGATTTCAATTTTTTTTCAAAGCGGAAAAAACTTCAATTCGTCACGCTAAAGTTTATCTACATTCGCAGCTTGACAGAAAATAATATAAAGCTTGCTTATGCAAATCTAGTTTTTGATTATTGATGTATATTCCAGCAGTTCTGAAGGAACAGAGAACTGATTAAGAGCCGTTAGAATGTTTAGCTTTGCATATTGTTATCAATCCCACGTAAGATGAGGTAACTGTTGTCTTGTTATGGCGTGACAGTTAGATTTTCAACGTAGATGCTAACTCAGTTCAGTGCATGGGAGGCGTGTGAAAAACTTACCAAGTGAGAGGCCTCATTTTAGTTTTGAAAATGGTTGGCATAAAATTTGATTTTTGCAGACGGCTTAAAGCCGGCTTGGGAGACAGAGCAGGTTGCAGCCTTCACCCCCTCCCCACCAAAAATATTTTGTGGGTTGAGGGGAGCTCGAGATCTCAAATTTCCATTACTTTAGGATTTGTTAAGCAATTTATTGGTTAGATAAATAGATAGGTCTATGTGTATGTTTTCTCATAAATCGCATTTCTGTCATTAAAGTATTCAAAACAAAGTTCCTAACCCAAATGCGGAAAATATCACGCTGATAAATGACTGTCTCGTGATATCGATCATCATTTTAAAGGGCCGTAGATTTCAAAAAACGCTAAGAACAAAACAGGAAGTTTCCTGAATGCGGAAAAAATGTCCCCTCCGAGTAAATTAAGGGGGAGGGAACAGGTGTATTACAAAGCGGAAAAAACTCAAATTCGTCGAGGTAAAGATATCTTGGTTTTGTTTGAACAAATTTTGTAACTTAACAGAAAATGCACCAATATATGTGAATTAAATCTCCTGAATGTCCATGTATGTTCCAGCGGAAATGATCGAGAGCATTTTAAGTCATTCGTGCTCCTTCGATTCTTGCTGCATCATTGTTATTACGCTCCCACGTAAGGTGAGGTGATTCGGTAATGTTAGGTTATTGTTTTAAAGTCACAGTAATGACCCTTCTGCAGGCTTCAGTTTACTTTTGAAAGCGGTCGGCTTTTTCGGAGCTGGCCGAAAGCAACATGTCTGGTAAATCTGAGTGTTAGGAAGCACTTTTGAGTTTATAAATGACAAACAAAGTTCTAGACAGACGTAGCTGATGCTAGCAGTATGCAGGACGCGTGTCATACGAATTTCGTAATAGACCTCGCTCACGGCGGAGTCTGTGGCTCAGTGATAGAGGATCGGAGCGCGGAATCCGAAGGTCGGAGGTTCGATTCCTCATGGGGACTCAGAATTTTTCTTTGTCCCTCGCTCGTGACAAGAAGAAAAACATTTTTGTCAATTGTCATCACAAAGTCTTATGTTGGCAAATCAGTATGTAATGCAAAATTTGATGAAATGTTGTCTAAGATTGTTATCTCCCACCGTGATTAATTAATCTTATGGCTTTGTTCAAATTAAATGTAAAGCGCAAACTACTACAAAGTACTTCTAAAATCGAAGCAAGCTAGCGTAACTTTGAGATCGGAGGTAGGGAAATTACCGAAGCAGTTAGTTGGCCAAAAGGATAATTAAAGTTCGCTGTACAATAACAGAACTTTCTCAAATTGTGCGAGGAAAAACAGTTTTTGTTTACGTATGCTGAAAGACTGAAGGCTGCTTTAAGATTAAATCTAGATTACCTTAAAAACCGGGTCGGTTTACAATGTTCCTATCTTAAGATAAGCGATTTAAAGTTTGATTGACAAGTATCACTAGGGAAGATTTGGTAAGTCAAGTGTAGAGAGACGCTTACTTTTAGTTCGCTCGCGAGAAACAGAATTCAGTAATGATACACAACAAAACAAAAGAGTTAGGAAATAATGAAATTTATTAGGATTTCAACCAAGCAATCATGAATTTAAGGCGATAGGTGTGTATTAACAAAATATTTTGAACCCAGCGTATGTTTAATGTTGATAGTGTTTGGTGATTTATCAAAAATGTGATCCAACTTGATAGGCAAACCTGAAAATGAAATAAGAAAATCCAAAGGTTTGTGTTATACTAGCAGAAAATACCATTGCCAATGCAAATAAACATTACGCTAATTGTCTATAGGAGTGGACAGAAACTGAAATAAAGTGCGGTTCGAGGTCAAAACAGGCCAAAGGAAGTTGGAAAACAATTGAAGATCCAAAAATAAGTTTTCCTGCTTTAAGGAGTTAATCGAACATGAAAAAAATCGGCAAGATTTTATTAAATGCTGTTGTTATTGCGTTATCTCTTTCTTTATCAAAATAAACGCATCTTTGTGATGAAATTTTTTTATCTATTTTTAGGAATCTCGAAGTAGAGTTGAATGCACACTTAAATGAAAATAGGAAACTTTACCTTACTCACACAATTACTAATTAATGGCGAGAAGCGGGTTTGAGAGTGTCGGGTAGCTGATCCAGTTCCTCCTCCACGAAATCGGCAAGCCTTTTCAACTTGTCACCTATCGGTTTCTCGCTCTTCTCCTCGCCAGGCTCCTCGCTCTTCTCTTCGCTCTTCTCTTCGCCCTTCTTCAGTTCTTTATGCACAGCAAGACCAATCAGAAGCGCTCTTCTCATGTTGTCCACAACATAGTCACCGACGACTAAGAAAGCTTTGTCTTTCTTATTACTTGCCATATTGGCTGCTACGGCTTTCATCATTCCTGTAGAAGGAAATAGTATTTTAAATCTACGGTTTTTTTGTCAAAAAAATAATCTTAGCCATTACGAAAGTGGAGAACTTTGAAACAGAATTATGCCTTTCTATAGAGAGTTTGTCCCAATCAAGGGGGTGGGGTATTCCCAAGGATCTTTCACAAGAGAAATGTTACACTAAATGTTCACAAAACTTTTTTGGTGTTTGAACGAATTAGTTTTCAAAGAAACTTATTTTGCGTCCTTTGCTCTGAGGGTGCTCTTTGCCCAAAAAGAGTACAAAGTGGTTGTGTTGATACCAAGATTTTTCAACAATTTTGATGGGTATACTTGTCATTTTGTTTAATAAGTAGTGTCCAAGGTTCTCCAACTTTAAAGTGTCTTTTTAGGGTGTATATTGGGGTAATAACATACCTTGAAAGCGTTTCCCCTCCACCTTATGCAAAATTTGCACTTTTTTGGAGAGCTTGATCGCCTGTAATTGTTTTATGAAAGAGATGAGGTCAGTCATTATTTTCATAATTGTTTGTTTTTGTTATCGTGAAGACCATTTCCTTAATCTCGATATGTATAATTAATATGTCGGAGTTATGTAACGTGTTATTTATTCTCGAAAAAATTATGTATTTGTTTGATATGGTTACGGTACATTATTGTCCGAGACAACAGCCAAACCGAGCTGAAGAAGTCTTGTGTCCGAATAAAGCTCTGACAAGCGAGTTAAACAGATACAGGGGGCATCAATGAGTTCAAACATAGGGGGGCGTCTCTACTAACGACTTCTTTATAATATTAAAGAGGTTATTTATATCAATAATCGTTATCATCATCCATATATGGAGACATGCACTGATGAAACAGATTACTTACATCCAACAACGTGCTGACCGCAAATCTGACGAATTTCACTAAAAGGAAAAGACAGCAGTAAAATAGTTTAGGAAAATAAATCTTCCCTTTTTATTTGCTCCAACTGCAGCCCATTTACAACTTTACCTTTCTGTCTGTCCGTAATTAACGTTTATAGATCATGGTAGAGGTTGTAATACAGTAAGAACGAGCACTTTCTTTTTACTCTCAAGACCTTTGTATCAATTCTCCTTACTGGCCATCACAATATTCTGATAATGTACGTCTGAAGAAATTGGCATTGGGTGAACCACTAATATCTTAAATAATGTTTTTCTTTATTCTCATCACTTGTCGGCTTGATATCAGTTATATTGATTTTTTAAGGAGAAATTCCGTCTGGGTCACTTTATAGGGTTAATAGGAAAGGTAGGGTCAGAGTACGAAAAACGTAAAGACATACCTTCTTTGCAATATGAAAATACGAGCTTGAGAAATCTGGCTTTCATGCTTTTTTCTGGTTTCAAGGACTGGATCAAATCTAGGAGACAAAGTATGGTTGCAAATAAGATGATTGAATGTTATGCAGAGCCCTCCACAAGTAAATAATTCTCTATGCCCTTGTACGAGGCTCTCTGTGGGGATAACCGATCGCTGCATGTACAACGGTGAAACAATGTGGCCGTTAGGTTCGTGAATTGACAAATCTTAACCGATAATTGTAGAAAAAAGGTGACTGTAAAAAGACTTCGCTTAGTAGAAGTTGAAACTATTATAAGTAAGAAAATAAGGGAATAAAAGAGCTTTGTTGGATAAAAAAAAATGTGGAAGATTTCCGGAGAACTGGTAATGAGTTTATAATGGTAGCTGTCTTTAAATAAAATAAAATGTATGTTTAAATAAGGGAGGGGAAAATGGAGAATGATGTCTGGCTTACTTCCTTTGCAAAACTTGCTCTTTTGGCTGTACAGGAATGGAATAAACTTGTCCGAGAGGTCGTAGTCACCGTCCTTGTCCTCCTTCTCTATCATTTTCCCAACTATATTTAAGAGACCTAAGAAGGATGAAATCATTTTAACAATTTTAATCATCTGCATGCATAAATCGCGCAGAAAGGACGCTTTGAATTGTTAAACAGACTGGAATGACGCTCAAGGAAACACCAGAGAAAAGAGAAAACATTTCCGTTACTGCAATTTTTTCTACACTTGTAGAAAAACTGTCATTTTGTATTTGTTACCATGGTTCAAAATTAATTGTCACATTACTTTTCTAGCTAAAACTGCAAGTGTTTTTTTTTTTCATTTCGTGGCTTCAACTACCGTCTGATAATTTGAATTTTATCTTTCTTTCTTCTTAACTTTCCTATTCTAGTCTCGATGATTCTTGTGACAGGTGTGATTTGCTTTGTGCGAAAAAACAGTTATAAATGAATAAAAAGTTATTTTGAACCTCCATTATTTTTCAGAAAATGATAATACAGTACCAAAATTAAAAGCAGTAAAGCATAGACCCATACAATCAAATTTATGCTTACCATCTAATTTGGTTTCACATGCTACATCGGCCACCAAACCTCCAACTGCCATGATAGCCCTTGCTCCAGGATGGTTGTGAAGTCCTTTTATGCGTACAATGTACACAAATGCTTGGAACACATCTTAACAAAGAAAAAAACAAACTGAGTCTTGGGTCCTGTCAGTCTCTTTCTTTGGGCAAATTTCTGTAAATCCTCTGTGGAGAGGGAACTTTATCCCTTTTTCATATTTACGATTTGAACAACATTAAGTACCTTTAGTGTTAAAATATCATTAATGCTTTATTGTAATACCGATACAGAGCATATCTACGATACCCAAAAATATTGAAATGTTTCCAAAAAAATTCTTGATTGCTAATAGTTTTAGGTTTAACTCCAATTTTATAGAGTTTTTATCTTAAACTTTTATCATATTTATCAAAATTGACTTTGCCTCAATTATACTTTTTTTTACCATTTTTCTCGTTTTGTTTTTTTATTGTGGAATAGATGAATACTTGAAAGGAAATCATTGCATTTCACAAGAATAAACTTGTATGAATTTCTTACCAAAGCCGTATTTTTCAGCTGCTCCAATGACTTTCCCCATCATCTGGGTGAAATCCAGGTCATCCGAACTCAGGTGGTCCAATAAGCCTGCAGAAAATTTGACACAAATCTAGGCACAAATTTATGAATGGACAATTTTTTTTTTAATAATATAAACGTTTTAATTCCCATCTGGTATATTTTACGATAAAGCATGCACGACTCAAGTTTAAACTTGTGAACTGACTCGGTGTGTTGTCATAATTTAAAGACAAAGTCCTTGTTTTGTTCATCGAATTCTTGAATCAGAAACAACAACTACAACAACAACAGACAAGAACGAAAAACCAAGATAAATACATTAAGATTCTTAACTGAGAACAGCCACAAAATATACAAACACAACTCAAAACGTGGAATGAGAAACCACATTTACCTGATTGATTTGCATGGCGGGCAAACGCCAGTTTGAGGAGATGACAGCGTTCGTGCAGTTTCATTACATGATATCCCAAAAGTTTTTTGATGGATTCATCATCTGCCCCATTCTTGATCGCTTTTACAAGCTCCTGTGCATACTCTGAAAGATTTTATTCATTCCCAGTTAGAGAAATGATCAAGTTATTTCATTGTGCTTTTGAAAATAAAAGCCCGTCCAGTTAGTTTGTCGTCTTGTGCAGAAAGGTTTTTATGTAAAACTTTGAAAATATACTTAATTAGAATGCCGCTGTTATTTACAAAAATTATTGTTTGTTTGTGTTTGTTTGTTTGTTTGCTTGTTTGTTTTTAACTTTTATTTCCGTTCTAACTAATCACTTGCAACGGTATTTTCTCGAAAAAGTGACACAAGTTAACCTTAAAATACACAAGTTTTTGTCGATTGTGGCAGAAAGGTCGAAATCTGCACGAAGATACGTGGGATGTTTGAATATAAAGATTACCGTGATTTTTTTTGTCCCTTGCCTCCTTCAGTATTTTCAAAGCTGGTATGATAGTATGAAGCTGCAGTTACAAAGAAAAATATGTAAGTAAACGGTTCAGAAACTTTTGACACCTTTAACCATTGCTGACAAGAAACAGACAAGTTTACAAGGGCAAGAGAAAAAGAAATAAGAAATTCCTTGATGGTACAGGAAAATATGGGTCAGAAATGGAAACAAAAAATAAAAAGTGATCCTTTTTCGGTTGGTTCAGTCAACTGTTAACTTCACCTCTGCCCCTCTGTATCAGACGCACTCCAAACCTATTCCTAGTCGGTTAGACCCAAAGAAAAGAAATATGTGGTTTTTGAATTGAAATGCTGAGTTCAAATGGATTGCCAGGAAGGCGACAGTTCAATAATGGACAAACAAGGACTTAAAAACAGTCCACCGAACCAATCATTGAAGAAGACTCGTGTAGTACTCGAGCCAGTTCCCGGCTGCATATTCCCAACTCTGTTAGCTCGCCAGTCAGAAGTCATTTAGGTTGCAGTTCTTAACAAAATTATCATCTCACCGATTCAACTAAATCCTCGATGGTTTCTTTAAATGGAGGTGGTTTCCCAGCTCCAGAGCCTTCTGGTTCCCCTGACCCTTCTCCACTTCCCTCTTTCTCCTCGCCATCGTCGCTCATGCGCAAATTTCCAAGGCCAGGCTTTAATGACTCGAGCGATCCTTTGCTTGTGAATTTTTCATCTGTCAAATGAAACAAAGAACATTTTTTAACAGAACTAAAATTGTTCTGTAAAACTTCAGAAAGCGGCGACTCCCACGAAGCCTTAATTCGATAGAGGAGTGATTTGACGCAAAGGAAACGACACAAAAAAAAAAAGCGAGCAAAAAAGCATCAAGGTTATATTCATAATAATAAACGGTCACGTGGTACTAAAGAATTCTTGTAGCTCTGATAATACCTTTTGAAAAATTATAAACCTTGGCGCATGCCTGAATTTTCCTGAGCGGTAAATGGATCGTATTGTAATATACGGGCATATCAGAATTTTACTATTCTCAATTTTAAGAAAGTAAAAATTTCTTTCGAAATTGGTGCAGATATTTCGTCGATTATTTGTATTGGGTTCCTTGTGGCTTACTAGATTACTTTCGATTAGCTCTGAGGTGAAATAAGATTTAACAAAACCCTCAGGAGATTTAACCAGTCACGAACTCAACAGTCGAATTATTCAATCGAAAACATGTTGAAGTTCCTGAGGAATCTTTCGCTGCAGCTGTTGAACCAGAAATTGCAAGTTCGAGCGAGCCAAATCAATAAAAAAAAAAGTGGAATTAATTGGGGCGTAACCCTCCGAGACTAATGGGCCGAATTTGTTATTGCTAAAAGCAATTGATTTTGCCAGCGAAATCTCGCCATTTATAGCTACTAGGCATATGATTTTCAGACCTGACTAGTAAACAGTTTTAGCCTTGCAGCATGTAGCTGTTTGCAGAAAGTACGAGCAAGCGAGAACTATGCCTATAAATGCTTTAGTGAATAGCGAACGAAGATTTGAGGTCTCGCACCAGCAAAATTTAACTCTGAGGTAAATTGCAGAGTGCTCACCGTTCAGCAAGTTATCAAGCAGTTTAAAATTCTGTTCGGGAAGGCCGACCCACTTATAGATATCAGCAGTTGCAAAGGCGAACAGCAAAAACCCAATGAAAACCTTCATCTCTCCAGACTCTTTCCTGCCTGCAGGGTAAGTTAAAAGGATGGCTATCTAGAGCAAAAACTTAGCTTTTATACATCAGTTGATTACGTCATTTTTACCAGTTTTTTTTAAAAGCTATTGTCACAGAAGTTAAATTAAGTACTTTTCTTTAGGTGTTAATTTATCAACCAGTCATTAAATCGCTTTTTTAGGAATGAAGTGCATTCTTTAGATTCGATGGAATGGTAGTGCTGCAGACCACGCGTATTCGAGCAATACTCTTAGGAAAGGGATGATTTTTAAGTGGCTCTTTCTTTTAATCAGGGGTGGAATGTATTTGGTAAAATTTTTAGTGCACGGAGAGAAAATTGATCAAGGATCTTTTCAGGTACGTGCGAGAAATGACGGATCATTGTTTCAGTTGTTACCTTCTCAGGGGTATTACATCACTTCTTGAAAAGAAAAATGTAATCCTTTGTTGTTTGACAACAACTTTGGCAATATCTATCTGAATATCTCAAATCAGGAATGGACAATGGCAAAGTTTTCTGCAATTTCAAATCTTAAAAATAGACCTTAATTGAAGGAACTATGATAAACTGTTACTTTGATCCAAAAGAGTTCATATGTGGCAGAAATTTCAAAGTTTGATGAGACAATTAAGCCAAAATCGAAAAAAAAATTCCTACTTCTACCTCTCATTATTGTTATGGTAATTGCACCGTATGAAAGAATCTTTGGATTAACACATTCACATCAATTGTTCAAGGCAGGGGTGAAAAAGAGGAAAAAGGGAAAAAAAGATAAAAGGCACCGAAAATATTTGAAAAGCATTCCGACAAACCCTCCCCCCGGCAACACTTGTAATTACTGAATGTGTAGAAAAGCAAACCAAACAGACGAAAGATATAATTGACAACACACCAATCAGGCCTAGATTTTGTAAGGCTATTTTTTCTTACCTTTTCTTGTAGATTATTTATCCACACTGACATCGTATATTCCCGGTATAACCGCACCCGGAGATAAATTTAAGACTCGCCCGTAGAGTCATATCAAGTTGATCTGAAACGAGTGAAATACGTCTGAAAAATATTTAGTGTATCTTGAATAGAATTTAAGAGAGCTCAGAATTTACATAAGGACCGCAACTTGGATAATGTAAAGCGGTTGTTTATTACCGAGTCAGTGATAAAGAAAGAAATGTATTGCACATGGGAAATTTTCTTAGCTCCTAGTAGTTTTCTGTTTCAACTAAAGTACTCTTAGGCGTGGGCTGAATTCATGGATCGCTATGACACATAAAATTGCCATCCACAAATAGAATGAAGAGAAAAAGCGAACTGGCTGACCGAGATCTAAAATGTTCACTCTATGAAATAAATGACGCACAAATGATTCCTGTTGACGAGAGAAAATAATGCTCCCACCATTTTCTCATGCTGTTAGTTAAGGCGAGCTCCACCTTCCTTTTTACGCATTTTATCATGTAAGGGATTTTTAAAAGGAAAAAAAAGATCGTCCTTGGAAAGCCTGAATGCTTTCAAAATGAACAATTGTTTAACCTTGTGAGAATAAAAGCACTTCCTAATTTCGGTGCGGACACAATTTGTTTAGGTACTTTCACACCCAAAAATAGGCCTGGGAAAGTGCGCAAAGTTTTCCAGCACGTAAGCGCAATTTTTTTATGAGAGACATAAAGACATGACATAATTCTCAAGGGGATTATGTCATGATAATTCCATTTTCGCAAGATTCAGGATAATTAGTGTTCGCAGAAACCTCGGGAACAAACTGATGGAAAAAGGAAAAAAAATTATCACACACCTTTGCAGCTGTACGCTGACAGGAAGGCACTCAATTACGCGAATATTTTGAAGTCGAGCAGTCAGTTTTGAACATAATAGACGATTGGTTATCTGAAATTAAAAATACCAAAGTGGGTAAATATTTTTTGAAAAGGCTTTTGTCATGATGGTCCAGGAAAGGGATCTTTTCTTTAAATATAAATTTAATTTACAACAAAACTTTAAAAGGTTTGTACAAACAATGGAGTGCACAGTTATTTTGTTTAATTTCGGCTAGTTCCAATTTAAGTGCAAAAAATGCAATCAAGTGAGAGCTGTTTTAAAAGCGTTTTATTTTCTCTGCATCTTCCTCTCCAACATTGAGTATGAAGTTATGTGAAAAGAACGTCGAAAAGAGAACAGTTATGACTGTTCGCCGTCTTAATTGCTTATCCAGCCAAGAGCGCTGATTGATAATAATGAGAGGACGCAAAACAATAGCGAAAAAAAAGTATTTTTTTAATTTTTTCTTCTTTTTCGCTTTTGCTGTTGTCATAGATTGCATGATTGTATGCGGTTATTAATTTTTGTTTCCATATGATTGAGCACGCCTTTCAAAGTTTACCAAAGGAGACCAGGCTCGAAAAACATTCCTGAACATTCCATGTTGGAGCTGTTTTCAGTTTAAGAAAATTTTGAACTCTTCGTGAATCTTGATTTTATTAATTAGGTTTACAAAGTGACTGACAAAATAAACAAAGGATTATCCGTGTTTGATCTCGGGCGTTTTAAATGTGTTTTGTATTAGAGTGCAAATACAGTTCGCATGCGAAAGAGCGCGGTAAATGCAGGAGAGGTTGGGAAAGATTAGACTGTACTGCATTTGGACAAGCTTTGATAACGTTGGCCTGACCTCCCTCGAAGACGAAGAAGTTTTCTGAACTATCATTTTGAACCGGGCCAATCAAAAATGTTAATCATTACGTCATGGTTTACATTCCGACATATAAATGAACTTATGAAAGGTTCATTAGCTACAGTTCTTCCTGACCTGCTCTCGGAAGGAACCAAAGAGCTACTCCCCCAGCATCAAAAATGAAAAGTTTATCTACTCTTTTATTGTTATGCATAGCTGTGGTGCAAATCCACAGTTCGTTTACGCCTTTTGAAGACATCACCGAGATAAAATTGAGAGAATTCACACAAAAATGGAATGAAGGTAGATACATACCACGAGGATTGATTCCTTTATGAAATTTTAGAGAAAGCATATAATTTGAAAGATTGCTATTTGGATAGAACTGTATTCGCTGTTATAAATGAAAAAGAAGAATATTTATAATTTTTTTCATGAAACCCCAAAATCTTAGTATTAGCCGGAGATCAATCGACGTACGCGGATAACTCAAGCGAAGCCTTCAAAAATTGGTTAAATTTAGCAGATGCTTAGACGATTTCAGATCGATCGTTCAGCTTTCAGAATGAGCACTCAAGATGCATGTATTACGCGCACGCGTTTGGAACCAAACGCGCGTTTCTCGCGCGTGATGAAAAATCGTCACTCTTGGCACTTGTTGAACTTGGCTAAAGGTTTGTTAACTTAAATACTCTATGTTTCCATCTAATAGTTGAGGATTCCAACAACAAGCTAACAACCAAACTAGCAACAGTCCTCGCTGAAGGAAAAAGGGAGGAAAATCACGACAAACCTGATCCAGAAAAAAAGAAAGATTTGAAAGCATTGGAGGATATAGTGGAATCGGTAAGATTAAGTTGCAAAGAATTAATCATGCTGTGAGAAATACTCGCTGACTTCGTGCAGCCAGCTTTTAAGTCACATTGTTCCTCTGGAAAACAAAGGACGCTAATAATTAATTTTATTTAGGTGAGCCACGGAATATTCAACAAATTAAACAATATTCAATACCCCAGGGGACTTAAACTCATTCTGTAAGTTCCATTTTCTAAGACCAGTTTTAATTTGTGATTCATAAATCAGTTGATTATGTTACAAAGTGACCACTTAAATTCGCAAAGATCAAAGCTTTGTCTGACTACAAAATACTTTTCAATAGCAAAATGCTTCATCGTTAAGTATCAAATGATTTTTCATCACTTACTTACTTTTTTACCTTTTTAATTTCAGCTTCATCTGGTCATTCCTGCACTGAAAAAATCCGAAAAATTTAAAGAAGAGCAGAGCGAGAGTGAGTAGGCATTTACGTTTCCGCTCGCTCGGACCCGGTCTCACGCCCCTATACCATAAGAGAAAACAGTGTCCGGGGCTGTCTCAGATAAATTCATATCAAAAGATATGGTTGGCTGCCGGCAATACTCTTTGCCTGCTCGACCCTTTGACCCCTTAAAGTCACCAGCATCTAATTTCTCCTTATTCCTTACAAAATCACCTCTGAATCACACGTTAAGGTCACCAGAATAATGGAAATGATCACCTGTCAAGGAGACTCTCGCTTGTTAAACCAATTCTCTCGGTTAGCACCTAAGAAATGTGTAGAAAACAGTGTAACGAAAATGCATTCCTACATTAGGGTGTACTCAAAGGGTTAAAGCGTGAATTACTTTGTTCATTTTACTTTGAGTCCCAATCAATTCCTTGTGACATTTGCCAACAGTATGTTCTGAATGGCAGTTTTGATTAGTTAGTTTTAGTTCTACAACACTCAATCGAAATGCGCACTTTGTGTGACTTGTGGTATTTGCTGACAGTTACTGCAATTACTACGTAGGGGCCCACAAAACGCATTTACTTGAGTACGCAAAACTCCCTGCAGTTAGAAAGAAGTGGTGTAAATTGCTGGGTTAATAATAATAATAATAATAATAAAACCGAAATGCACAGAGAAGAAAAACACAGGATTGAGAAAGTTGGACGGATGGAAATGACAAACCGCCGGCTTAGCTTATAGTTTATATTGATGTTTGCATTTAGCGATCAAAAAGGCATATTACTCTCTAATGTAGAATGTTTGATTTCTCTTTGTTATATTTTTGTAAGAATACGCCCATGGATTATTTGAGCTGCTCAACGAGGAAGCCGAAGCTAAAAAGTTCAAGGTCGTTCTTGGCAGATCTGTTACGGAACTGCACGGAAAATGTCATGAGATTCAGGAACAGTTTTTGTCACACGCAAATAAGACAGGTTTGTTATCCTTCGTTAAGACTGATTCTAGAAAATATAGAATTAATCAAGTCATTCGTTGATTTTTTTTTGTT